TTTGGCCAGAGCCACAGTTTGCCCCATCCTATTCTATGTGCAGTGGCTCTCAAACCTTGACTTTGACCCACATCTCCTCTACATTTCTCTCAAAAGTTTCACGAAGTCACCTTGAACCTTTGCTGTACTCTGCTTTTTCTACCCTCTTCCATTTCATTTTTCAAAAGTAGGAGACAAATAACAAATGGACATCACATCCCACCGATGGCTGCATGCTGCAGCTGGAAAAATACCATCCAAGATCCAGGACAGCACATTCAGTATACAGCTCAGTACAGGCCGCAGGGTTCTAACTCTGCCCCCACACCCACTAGCTCTGTGACCTTGGACGAGTGGCTTCAGCTCTGTTTCAGTTTCTCAGCAGACAGCCGGCGTGAGCCAATGCAGACGCGCTCAGAGGGCCCCCGGCAGGACATGAGGATCGTCACGTGACAGTTTGGCACCGTCACACCTGCGGGAGGGCCAGGAAGCTCACAGGCTGAGGAGTCTCTTCCAGCCCGAGTCCCACACTCCTGGCCTTTCCCCACTTGCCACCCTCCCTCTACCAGAAGAGGATGGCGCGAGCAGGCAGCAGCCATGCTGTACTCGGCTCTATGGCCTTGGGAGTTTCTGGGACAAGGGAACCAGGTGCTGAGCTTGCTAAAAAAGACGGATCTGCCCGTGACCTAGCCACAGAGTGTCTGACCTTACAACTCATTTCTAAGGCATTTACCCTGCAGCTGGGTACTGGGAGCTACAGAAATAGCAGCCACTCCTTACTGTGGCCAGAAGCTGCAGAAGGCAGGTCAGGCACGGCAAGGAAACATGAGGCCTGTTAAAGGCAGTACCAACCTCCACCCAACTCTAAATAAAGTCCAAAGGAGAGAGGAGCTCCTTGCACCTGCCAGAAACTTTTCTGCTCCAAGAAAAGCACGGGACAAGCCTGGCTGCAGAATGGACGAACAAAACCTTAACTGACTCAGCCGAGTTACCATGGGGTGGGCGAATCCGAGAGCTGGGACAGTCCTGGCTCGTTTCTCTAAGGGGCCCTGGAGAGGGTAAAGGACTTGCTCAAGGTGATGTGATTCCCTGGCTGTGGGTGAGGCGCTAGAGGCCGGCCAAGGTGGTAGCAGACTCAGATCCTAACAGCAAAAGGTGAACACGGGAAGGTAGTCAGCATAAACTTAAGACAGCATGACTGTTCCAGCATCTATAATAAGGACATGATGCAAGCACGACATGCCCTAAGATGGCTCCCACTTAGTTCAGCCCCCATCAGCTCCTTGCAATTGAATAAGCTGACCAGAAACCTACAAAGAGGAAGACAAGACTTCCCTCAAGAACACAGATGTTATTCTGACTTCTGTTTACCCACCGGCCTGCAAATGCTATTGACAATTTTTCTCGAGTAGGGACAGCAGGGAGACAAAGAAACCAAGGCTCACTGAATGCCAGGCATGGCGTGGGTGTCCTGCAGATGCCCAGTTGATGGCAATGACCCGAGAAGTGGGCGTTATCTGTGCCCACCATACACTGCAGGAGGGCTTATCTGCCTCCAAAGCCCACACTGCGCTTTCATATCCTGCTGCCCCTCCATGTCTGGAAGATGTCACCGCTTGCCTTACAAATAAGAGAGCTGAGTCACCAACAGACACATATGAAATGACAAAAAACACACAAGATCCTCTATCCAGAGCAATTTGGCCAGGAGAAGGCCAAATAACCTCTAAGCAAATAACCTGTTCTGCTAAAAAATTATTCCAGCAGCAGGATGTGACGATGTTCATCTTGCCATCAACTGAGTCAGAAATGTATTTAAAAACTGCCCATTTAACCTCGTATCGTTACTAAATGGAAAAAAAACGAAAAAAAAAACACACCGCAGTCTTCAAAACGGCGCCTCTGTGAACTACCAAAAGCAAAACAGGCCTGCAGCGAAGACTAGGCCGACATGTAGAAACCCAAATCCATGAAACCTGCTCCCCCGACGTCTTACCTTAATTTATCCAAATGAACCTCAGATGCCACCCAGACAATGAGGCAGCTTTTCCGCTCTTTCCATTAGGTTTTAATTATGAAACGAGCCTCAAACCACTTATTCTGAGGGGATCCTCTCCACCTATACAAGCAGACTGCTGCTACGGGTCCTTGAATCACCTTATTAAATACCAACTGCCAGAAATCTCAGAACCCATCCTTTTCTCGCCTCCTCAGGTCAGAAACGTTGCCACGTACACGCAAATGCCTTGCTCGTTTAGAAACTTAGCGATTTCGTTATTTGCTCTGAATTATTTTCTGTCACTCAGCCTCCGAACCTGGGTCAGAACCACTCCCTCTGGTCCGAGAAGGTATCCGCAGGCACCAGAATTAGGCGGTCTGGAACAGGGCATTCACAGAGGCCTGGCAATAGTTTCAGTAGCAACTTTCACCATCGACGTATTGACTGCATCTGGATCTGGCCTATACAAGACGGTTCTGGGACGCGATAGCAGCAAAAATGTTAACGGAATAAGGCAACCCTGAGACATCCATTTCCCTTCTAGCAGCAAAGGGAAAAGATCTAAGAGGAAGGAGCAGAGGTCGAGGCATTAGTAAAGAGAAACCGGCCCAATACAAAAATTGTCCGCGTTCAACTGGACAGGAGCAGACAAATTCAGAGTCAGCCATTCATCTCTAACTTGCCAGGTATGCAACACCTGGGAAAGCCTTCATTTCCCCGGGTGCCAAGTTTTCCCTGGGGAACAACCTTCCTGGCAAAGAAAAGGCCGGCCACCTTTGTGGCTTCAGAAAGTAGCTCTTAACGTAAAAACAAAATGCTGGCTTCTCTCAAGATCAAAAAATTGAATGAAACCCTATCTGGGAGACAGGACAGAATGTGAAATAGAAAGCCCTTTGGGGGGGGAATCCTATTATTTTCTTTTGAAGAGCAAATTTGAGGGGAATAAGAAAAATAGGGGCTTTAAGGACCAGAATATCCATGTTTCCCTGGTCACAATGATTTTTATTCTACTGGGAGATTTTTAACTGCTTTCAGAGTAAACCTCTCCCCAGAGAATACAAAATTTTACAAGTGTATGAGAGTTGCCGTTAAATCAGGTATTCTGAGTGACACCCTTTTCTTTCTTTTTTTTTGCAACATCCATTAATTTGAATTTTAACTAATACCGGTACATCAGTTTTGGGAAGAAAAAAGGCAGTACTGTGACATTTCAAAAACAAAGGCTACCCAAATAGTCTGGCATAATTACTGGGGTTTCTGGGGTTTGATACATGAGATTCCTTTGAGGATGTAAAAACAACAAACCCTTGTGTGGATATGCCTGAGCGCTTTTTAAATGTTTAGGGAAATGTTTTTAAATGCGATATAGGATTGCTCCACTTGTGAGAAAAGAAATCCTATTTCCTTAACATTTCAAAGTAAAGTTACATTAGCATCCCTCTGCAACTTAGTAGGTCCTGAACCTTGGAAGGTTCATCTATAGCACCGGGTTTCTGCACTGGGCTCCTGGAGGAGGCATTTCACCAAGGAGGGGAAACTTTAAATTCATTTTCGGCAGACCTTGCACCCTGGAAAGTGTGTTCAGTTTGTGCTTCAGACATCTTTTTTTTTTTTTTTTTGCAGGACACTGTACTGCGTGGACATTTCTTTCTCAATCGACTTTACACACCTAAGGTCATCACTTCCCAGCAGTTAGGTTGTGAACACAATGAGAGGAAGAACAAGTGGCCCCCTAAATTGCAATTTACAGGTTTCCTCATCTGAAGGCAGTGAACTGTCTCTTCTCCCAAGAACGGAAAAAAAGGAAACCTGATCTTTGGGAGTGGAAGAGGGCTGTGTGTTCAAAAGCTTTCTCGACCCAAGTATGTCGGGGACCGAAAGTTGGACAAGAGGGAAAACAGAACTTCAACGTGTTTTGTCTTTTAACGGGAGAACTTATGCTTGTAAAACACACCGGAAGTACAGTGTTTGGTTCTGCAAGTCATTTCTGTCGCTGTTTTTTCCTTGTACACGTAGAGAAGGGGGACTGGGGGCTGAGGGAAGTGTTCTCTCCACCATGACTGGGCGTGTAACACGTTGGCATCAACTTTTCACGATCAGGCATGTGCTTTCGAACAAAGAACAGTGGAGACAAGGAGAGGAGACTGGGTATTGACACTTTACAGATTTGGTGCTTCAACAGTACTTTACAAATGACTTGCTTAATTTCAACGTCCATCACCATAAGAGACATTGGAGTAAATTGAGAAAATGGGGTCTACTTGAACCACAATCGTTTGGGGGGCCGTGGGGCAAAGGGGAGGGAGAGCATTAACTTGAATGCAGGTATCATAAACCAAATTCAGTAACTTTGTCTCCTACAAATGGACTTGGAGTATTCACTTTCTTCAAAGATGTGGGCTGGAGACAAAGCAATGAATTGAAATGACAAGAAGGTATACCATACCCAGGGCTTGAAAACATACATAGGGGCCTTTTACTTAGGTTTTTGTCATGTTACAGTAACACTTTTTTTTTCTTTTTTTAGAAAACTGTGTACGTCATATTTTTAAAAATTAAACATCGAAAGGATGTGCAACTATAAAAGGGCTCAACCGGGCTAGAATCCTGATTTGAACATTCCAATTCACTCTCTCAAGCATCACTTTGATCTAAAGGCGAGGAGGAAGGCAGGCAGGAGAGGGACGAAAAAGAGGGAGATAATTGAATTACTCAATAAAAGAGGCTACTTACCATCCCAACCCATTGTAAGACATACACTTCTGACATAAGAGAGCTCCTGAGAGGTCGAGTAAAGCGTGTGAGCACCTCTGAGTAATGCACCTGCCCCCCGAGGGGGGCCCCCCCGGAAGCCCAGCGCGGGCTGGGCTGAGCGGAACAGACCTTTGCTAATCTATTTCCTGGAACTGGAGTCAGGCTGCGATGGGCTGCGATTCCCAGGACGATACATTTAATTAGAACAAAACAGAACCAAACAAAAAAACAAAACCAAAAAAAAAAAAAAATGGTTGTAAAAGCTCACCAAACTGCTGCACTTGTGTCTCTGAATGTGGGTGGCATTTCTTTTAAAAGGCAAAGTGTGGTCTGTGAAGGAGAAAGGGGAGGGGAGGTGGGAGTGGGGGGCAGGGAAGCCCTCGCTGAGACCCCTGCCTGCGGGGGGGAG